ATATATAAAAAACCCCATTATCACCCTGGAGGCCTTCACACTCCAACACGCTTTTCTCAGGAAACCAGGACACACCGTTCCCATGGTGCAGAATTCAAATGTACATGGCTCACTTCAGTGTATGTTTACGCTTCTAGAGATTCAAATGATTGACATGGAAGGGTACCAGCACAACTGGAAATTTGGCAATCTGGCCTTTGAACCTTTGCCACCACAAAATGGTTTGAGGAACACTGACAGATCCACGCCTGCCCCCGACACAGGCAGACTGGCATCAGCCACCAGATTTTCAGTTCCAGAATGGAAAGGATTCCCCTTGGACGTTACAGGTCACGCCTTGCACTCTGGGGGTCTGGGATCCCAGGGAACCCAGTCCCTGGAAAGGCCCGACATTCCCCAAGGATGACCGCACACAAGTGGGGATTCTGACCGAGATCTCAGGTTTGATGGTTTAGTGCTCCTCCTGCTGGGGCAGAACACAGTCCTGACTGGCTCCCACACTGCAGTGCTAGCTGGCACCCTGGGAAACAGCCTCACAAACCAGGAATACAAAGAAAACAAGGAAAAGGAGAAAATATGAGGTAAATCGAACTTCTATTAAAGACACACAGAAATTGTAAACTTCCTCTTGTGACAGAAGCGGATTTTGGTAGTTATGAAATTGAACTCTATACTGATTTCTTACAACAGCTCAGGCCAGAGTGTCAAAAGTCCTTTGAGCCACTAAGACCAGGGAGTAACAAAGGCCCTTAGCAACGCATTAGCAGTTTCACAGGTGTGCAGAAAACGTGTGTGTTCACTGGAGGAGTGTTCAGTTTCCCTTCGATATAGAAGATAACAGCTAGTACCAAAAGGCAAGAAAGACTGAACGGCTCAAGACTCTGGTTCCACAGCTCCTGTGTTAGCCTGTTTGCACTGGCACACACCACCTTAAAGGAAAACTGCAGTATAAAGAAACACCTAGTTACTAGACCAAGTCACCGCACAAATTGTTTCGTTTGTTTGAGAAAAAAAACAAACCAAAAACCCCCAACGAAACGGGAAGTTATCATTTCAACAATCAGCACTTACATTATGCTTATGAGCAGGAATTCAGAGCAATCTCTGCAATAAAAGGACATTATTCCACAGAAATGGGGAATGTGATGAACTGTTAAGAAGAAAATTTGTCAAAAAATTCTGCAGGTTACCAGGGATCAAAAGCTTCTTGCTTCCAGCCCCAGATGTATTCCAGACTAAGCTGTCTCTATCTTTGCACAAAACCTAGATAAAGTACACGTGGTAAGTTTTTGTAAATATGGAGAAACTCACTGCATCTCATTAATATTCCACTGTAAACGGACAGTGAAATTTATGGGCAGAGATTATCTATTACTTTTATAAAGTGCTGTGTACGTTCACAGTACTATATAAACACTACTTCATATACAGCAAAAAAGAATCACTGCAGTTTTCCTTTGGCTCGTTAATGTGTTCACCCTCTCAGGCTGTCTCGTGCTTTTAGAGATGATGTCCTAAACCCCCACCATGGCATACAGTCAAGGAAGTGTCAAAGAGTAGGTGGGGCATGACAAAGGCTACATGGAGTTGGTGGTTCTTCATCCAAACTCAGATGGACTCTGTTCTCCTTCCCCATCTTTGTTTTCATTAGCTGTTCTGTGTTATTTCTGCTTCCCCTCCTCCTCTCTACCCCAAGGCAGTGTGGCGTCAGTTTCTGCTGCTCCCTTCAACCTTCTCTCCCCACCCCAAGGAGCTGGCATTGGTCCTTCTCAACACACACTGGTTACAAACACAGCAAACTTCAAATAAGGGAGGAAAAAAAACAAAATTAAACAAAAACACCCTCAGAAATATGGCACCTAAACTCCAAAGTAACACACTGGAAACAAAAGCACAAACTTGTCCTCCATCCGAAGTGGAATTCTCAGCAGAGGCTGCAGCCGAGTCTTCAAGGGAAGATGTGCCAGATAGAAGGCATGGATCAGCTTCCAGGACTGTAAAAACACAGCCTTAGGGCTTCGAATCACTAAGTGCGCTCCTCTCCAACTTACCAGAAGATCCTTCTCACTCCAGTCCGAGGGCAGGGTGCTCAGTATGGCTTGCTGTCGTTCTTAGAGCGCTTGAGCTGCACTTTCAGACGCTTCATGCCGATCTGAAAGCCGTTCATTGACTGAATGGCAGCCTGAGCAGAGACAGGATTGTCGTAACTTACAAAACCTGAACGAAGGAAAACACACAGTTACAGCGAGCTGAAGTTCCTGCAGCCACTGCTGATGAGGGGAAAAGCAGGCACTCACTAGGGCAGAGGCCTGCAGGGAATGCCACGTGCCAAAGCTCACACCCGTTTTAGGCTCCTCGTAACAACTTCTTCCTCAGGGCTCTCAAACTAAGCATTTTTCCCCTCACACACGGAGCTTTGGCCGAAAGATACACAAAGCTCAGGACATTAAAATAATGGTTTCTGGTCTTTCAACAAAAATGAGTACTGCTGTTTGTTTTGTAAGAGCTCACACCTAGCAAACATTCATCCATATGCGAACGCTCATTAAAGATGTAGGACTGAAATCAACCTCTTGACATTACGGGAGCAGATTTCCTCGGAGTGAAGTAGCTGCCAAGAGAATGCAGCACTTGTATCATACTATGTTTAGGTTTCTCTCAGATGAGAAGTTGTGTATCATTCCTGGAAAAGATCCTCAAAATAAACTCCTCTAGGGCTTTGCACTAAGCTATTTAAATAACTCCAGTCAATGGCCACCTGAGAGGTAATTCCGTAACATGCAGGTGTTAGCTGAACAGTCAGCATGTTTTTGTGTCCTCACAGCACTTCAGACTGCCCACATCTTTTGGCTCAAATACACACGAAAAATCATCAGGACACTGTGCGGACACAAAGCTATCAAACCTCTCCTGCTCCATCACAACAAGACTCCATCTATCAAAGCAGCCATGAGCTCACAGCACCACAAAAAAGCAACACGGCAGCCACAATGTTGTATAGAGGAGAGACTGACACAAGTCATTCAGAACAAGTGTCCTAAGCAGAATATGCAGCAACACAAACAACTGCTGGAAAGAGAGTGAAGAGGAGGAACTACACCATGGCTAGGGCCTGCAAACATGAATCACAGTGGATTATCTAGGGCCAGAACAGTATAATGAGGCATAACAGTCTGAAATTGGAAAAAGCAAAAAGTCACAATGAAATAAATACAGTTTATTGCTGGAAGAGTTTGGTTTATTTATTTTTGTTTGCAATATAGTGAAAAATTCCCTATTTGGCTTAAACCTAGACCAGACAAAATAATGAAAAAGAGATGCCTAAAAAGAAGCCACCTTTCTACACACAATGATTTCTAGGATCACAGAATGTCCGGAGCTGGCAGGGACCCAGACGGATCATCGAGGTCCCTGCACAGGACATCTCCAACAATCCTAACCTTTGCCTGAGAGTGTTTCCCAAACATTCCTTGAGCTCTGTCAGGCTTGGTGCCCTGACCACTGCCCTGGAGAGCTGTTCAGTGCCCAAACACACTCTGGGTGAAGAGCCTTTTCCTAGTACCCAACCTAAATCTCCCCTGACACAGCTTCATGCCATTCCCACGAGTCCTGCTACCGGTCACCAGAGAAGAGATCAGTGTCTGCCCCTGTGCTTCCCCTCGTGAGGAAGTTGTAGACCCAACATACCAAAACACTTGCTTAGATTGGTCTGCTTGTCAATGAAGACCTTGGCAGAGACGACATTTCCAAATGGCATGAACATCTGCAGCAGATCCTGATCCCCAAACTCCTGGGGAAGATGGTAGATAAACAGATTGGCTCCCTCTGGACCTTCAAACAACAAGTGGGAAGATAAATTCAGGAAGAACATGTAACACATGCCTGCTGCACAAAAAAAGGGTGAAAGAGCCACTCAGGTTAAATTTTCTAGCGGAAACAGTGAAACTGCTGTTCACACTTCTGCAGAGTACTTGATTCCAGAGTAAATTCACATGACCCTGTGCTGGGACTGATCATTCAAATAATTCTAGCTCTTTCTCACCATTTTCGCTTGCAATTTACACATTGTGCCAAAAATGATTCACAGATCTTTGCTGTAATGAAAGCTGAGCAGTATGTTGGAGTCCCAGATGTTGACTCAACCAAAACTGGCTATGCAAAGCTTGTGGTCCCAGAGCAAGTAAGTGAATCTCAATACAAAACACAAATAATGGCATCACTTGCAATCTGACAGATACTTTTCTAAAACATGCTACATTCTGCTGAAAACTAACTCCTGCACTCTTCTTCACTAACTTGTACAATGTCTGAAATTGAGTCTGGAGAGTGAAAAGACCAGCATAAAGTACCTGTGGGAAGAGGTGAAGGACCAAGAAAACAAGACTAACAAACCCACATCTGATTCCCTGACAGGGGGATGTGTCAGGCTGTAGACTTATACTCTCCTACCCTCCAAAAAATGGAGGAATATGATTACTGACCACTGGAGATTAGAGGAATCCTGTGAGAAACCACAGACTACTTTGGGCAGCCCTTAGCAGAAGGTTTTCCTTATCTTCAGTGACTCCAGTATTCCAAACGATGCCACCAAACAGAAGATCTGCAGGTAAGGTAGCTGCAAGGGCTAAGCTTGCCCTTTTCAAACCCCCTCTCCAGCTGTTTCTCCAGCTTTCTCCCTACCTTCTTTTTGACTTCCTGCTGCACCGATACTCTGCTGTGTCAGGAGGCTCTGGTTGTAGAGCGTGGGCAGTGCAGCAGCAGCATATTGCTGAATCCCAGAGTAAGCCTGTGTGAGGGCTTCCATCGTGCTACCCGTCCCGTTGGAAAGACCACCACTGCCAAGCCCTCCATTTAAGGCTGCCATTCCTGGATGAGAGAGAGAAATAAAAGAAGACTGAGAACTCCTACTGAGCCAGATCAATAACCTTTCAGATACCCTGCACTACTACAAACGTGAGGGGAGAACAAATCACCCCACAGGACTCGCACAGGCAGAGGGATGACGAGCAGCTGCTCCACCACCACACACCACTCACCTGCCAAGGAGCCAACATTGAGGCCTGCTGTAGCCCCTGCCAGCGTCTGCAGTGCTCCGAGAGAAGCCATTGGATTAACAGAGGAGCTGCTGCTGGAGCTAGGTGAGGAACCTGCTATTGAAATAAAAGAATTAAACTTCAAGTGATAGTTTTTCATTCTGATAAGTCAACTTTTGTTAAATTATTTCTGTAGAAAAGGCTAGTAAGGAGCCATCATGGCGACACAGCACATTCGATGTAAAAAAACCTAACCCCAAAGCCACACAACTTGATTGATGATACTACCGATTCCTGCCTTTCTGAAAACTTTTCCTGAGTGCCCCTTTCACAAGCTAGCAGTTTCAATGAGTTTAGCTAAGGCCACGGTCACTGCAACGTTGATATCTAGAGGGGGACGAAGCAGTAGTCTGTTCAGTTCCAAAGAGCAGCTCATTTACAGCAAGGTTGAAGGTTCTGCTTCATCCTGTTCTACATCAAAATGCATCATACTCCTTGGAACTATCTGAACAAAATTGCCTGAAATGAGCAGCAAGACAGCACAACAACCACACCTAACCCCCTGAGTCCAACTGTTCTGACATGTAACCCATCCACAGTCAACAGACTGCACTCTGTGGACTTCCAAGCTCCCCAAACACAAACAGTATCAGTGGAGATGAAAGAAAATAAAAAGTAACTATGTATAATAACTGCCTGAATTTTTCCACCAATTATGCAATTCAAGGAGAGGTCCAAACAAGCATCAGCTGAGCACTGGGATGGCAGATGGAGGAGTCAAGGAGGTTGTCACCTCACGTGCAGTTAAGTTCAGGAGGTTACTGCAGTGGATGTTGCCGCATGTCCCGCAGACAAGGCAGGTGTTTACTAACTCATGGCACTGAACAGCTACCTGCCAAGATTTTTCAAGGCCTGGGTGTGCTTCAGGAGGCAGAGATGCTCTCTGTGTGGAGTCCAACAGCCTCCTACGTGAAACATGCACTGTGGGTGCACATATAAACACTCGCCAAGAGAGCGTAACATGCTCATACCTCTAAGGAAGAGCACTGAAATGGCTTCAGAGTTTGATGTCAGTAGCTACTTATTGATCACAGATCCTTCAAAACCTTTTACTTCTTTTGAACAAAGCTGATCTTCGCTCTTTAACATCGTACTTGAAATTAAGTTTAGGGAGCAATGCAATAGTGCCCGTTCCACATAATGAGCCTGTGAAGAGTGACCTGATACCTCTGCATAAGATAGTAATTCAAATAACCTGTCACAATAATAACTTGACTGCTGACACAACCATTGTTGGTAACACTGGCAATCAGAAAGTCACTTGGATCCAGCAGAGAAAGCACTCAGAAAACCAGCTGCTTCACACTCTCTGGCCCCTCCACTAACATGACCAAAAGCAGAGCAGACTCCTGAGACACGTCTCAGCAAGGGAAAAGGAACCTGCAGAGTGCTGTGGAACAGACAGGGCTCAGACAGAAACCAGCTCCAAAGAATCACACAACAGCAGCATAACCTTGGCTGCCAGGGACCTCTGGGGATCCCCAGTCTAACGGTCTGCTCAGAGCTGGTCTCACCTCTGAGTCTGGTCACCCTGCTCAGGGTCCTTTCCAACTGCATTCTCAGCCTCTGAAACGATCCACATTCCACATCCCCTCTGGTGCCTGGGTCCTGAGCTTAATCACTTGGCTGCTAACTTTATTTTTCTTTTACGTTTAGTCAGAATTTTCTCTGTTGTGACTTGTCTCCAGTGCCCTTGTCCTTTCACTGCACACTTCAGAGAGGAGGTTGTCTCTGCCTCTTCTAGCACAGCTGACATTTGAACCTCACAACCTGCCAGCCCCTTTCTCTGCCTCAGCAAAACAGAGAACAAACTTGCTCCAGGCAGTAGACAAGACAGCCAACAAGAAAACCTTAGTTCTGAATGCGAGTCACAATTGTCACTGGGCAATTCCAGCTCAGGTACTGTGTGAGAAAATACAGGAGAAACCCTCAGAGAGATTCACCTTCATGCTTTTCTAGACGAAGCAGCATTGGCAGGTTCTAAATGCAGTTCTTCTGTAGCCTCAACTCTTTGGGTTTTTTTGTTGGTTTGTTTTTTAGTTATTAAACAGGATACATAACTGGGAGTCAAGATCAACACAAAAATTTTAATCTTCTAAGGACTGCAGATAACCAAGTTTGTATGTAAAAAGTGTCCAGCAACAGAACACACAGAGTGTCCAGCAACAGAACACACTGAACTAAATTCTATCTTGGGGATTTCTCTAAGTAGAAAACTGTGCAAAGCACCCATGGTTTTACTCCCAGCCATGTGACAAGGTTTTTTAAACAGCTTTTCCATGTAATCTCTTTATAATCTCTTAGTCCAACTCCTTGGTCCTCCTGGGCAACTCAAAAAGCCACCTGTGTAAACATGAAGCACTCTTCAGCCCCTTGAGGATGTCAGGTGCTGGAAAACTGACACCCTGAAAACACAGGGTCTCTCCTCCCATGCTAGGACTCAGTGATGACTCAAAACGGGATGGAAATAACTGAGTAGGATACAGATCCTCATTTGCAGTAAAATCTGAGGAGATCTGCTATAAGCACATTTTTTGGGGGTTTTCTGCTTGTTGTATTTAATGACCACATTTAACAACAAGGCACCAAAAGATCACTATTTTCCACATTCTGGTGTCTCTGGGTAATGTGCATAAGCTAAAGCTAAAACACCCAAACCAAACAAAGCACAAAAAAAAGCCACGTAAGAGCAAGGTACTGATTTTTATGTGCAACTCTCACACTCAGAATCATAGAATCAACCAGGTT